GAGGCTGCGGCAAGGGCTGCTACTGCCTACGAAGGGAAACCCAGCCTTTGGGTACCTCAAAAGCAACTGCAGGACGAGCTCCAGTGTCAACTCACTGCTCTGTGGCCAGCCTGTCTCCAGTCACTCTTCTGTCTGCTACGGAAGCGAATGGCACCGCTGGCTCTGCTGCTCGGGGGCAGAGCTGGTTCCAGGCTGCATGTCCACCTGTGCCAAACCCCCCAGGGCAAACGGCACCCGGCGCAAGCGGGTGACACAAGGGTGCGTGCGCCTTGTGGACAGCAAGTGGAAAGGCCAAGGAGCAGAGGGCCAGGGGCTGCAGGAGGGACAGGGACAAGAAGCAGACTTCAGAGCGGACTGTAGCTCCCAGAGCTGGAGACCGGACAGAAACCTGAGGTTTGCCTTGGGACGGCTCTTATGAGATGTTCTAACTTACACTGAAATAAATCACATTTCTTAATAAGCTTGAACCACATTTTGGGACAGCTTCAGGATTTAAACTGTATGTAATTTCTGCATAAAAGGGGTCATTGAGGAGCAAAAGTGACTGGAAAAGCCATGAAAACAAAAAAAATCAGCCAAGTCCTGCTCCTGTTTCTCAACAGAGCTATTTTCCACAAAGACATGAAGACTTGTCAAACAGAGAAGCTGCATATTTACATTTAAGCAATGGGCAAGTTTTCTATGTTATATGTATTTGTAGGAACATAAAATTGACATCTTCTGATATCTTGGGTTACAGCTGAGGCCTGGGGGCAGAGCACGAGAAGAGACAGGAAATCTCAATGAGGGAGTACGCGCAGCAGTTCAAAGCAGTAATGTATGGGATTAATCACCCCCCCCTCACACCCGGGGAAGTCAGCAGTGAGTTACACACACTCCAGGGTCCCTTCACACCGTTACAGCGACGGGAAAAGGCCTTTGTGCTCCTGAGCACCACGGAAGAGATCTCCATCAAACCAAAGCGGGCTTTAGCTCATTCTGTCCAAAGGGAGAGCGCAAACTTTGATTAACTCACAGAATCACAGAATGGTGGGGGTTGGAAGGGACCTCTGTGGGTCACCCAGTCCAGGGTCACCCAGAGCAGGCTGCACAGGACCTTGTCCAGGCAGGTCTTGAATATCTCCAGAGAAGGAGACTCCACAGCCTCCCCGGGCAGCCTGGGCCAGGGCTCCGTCACCCTCAGAGGGAAGAAGTTCTTCCTCATGTTCAGACGGAACTTCCTGTGCCTCAGTTTG